GTACATTAATATTCCAGTTACACATAAAACTAAACTAAAGTGTAATAAAAAGGGATATTAAATTGTGATTTGCAAAATATTCACAGTATGAAGGTCCATGCCGGCATGGCTTCGTTAAACAGGGGTTCAGTCGGGAAGCTTTTCCACATCGGCTTTAGTAATTTAACGTGTTTGTAGACAGTAAACACAGTAAACACGCCGTTTTGGTTTGTCTGTGATGCCAACAAACACCACGGTGGTCACATCCGCTGTGGACACAACTAGGTCAGCGGCCGACATGTGGGGGTTTTCTCACAGTGTGTAACGTACGTGCACTCACACGGTCATTGTGTTGTAATCAGCGGACACAAAGAGACCTCAGCCTTCCCTCCAGCCACAGCAGAGGCTCGTACAAGTTAAAGGACACGAGGGTCTGTTAACATCTGAGACGTCACCGGAAAACGAGCAGAAAGTAAAGCACAGAAAGAGAGAACATCCCAAACTGTGCAGACAATCTGAATATTCACACGTGAGCCGAAAATACAAGACAGGTCAGGATGAGTAGTTAGGGGAGGGGAATTAGTTCATCTTTGTGGTGCATTAATCCAGTTTCTGGGCATTTTTCACTGCAATATGAAAAAGGAGAGACAACTAAAAAATGTGTTTTTTTGCAGAATTATGCAGTTAGAATGACACAAAGGGACAAAAATGACACAAAAGACGCAAAAAGTAACACAAAAAATGGCCAAAATAACACAAAAATGGCACGAAAGACGCAAAAATGACAAAAATCTGCTAAAATGACAAAAATTACACAAGTGACGCAAAAATAACACAAAAAGCTGCTAAAATGACACGACAATGACACATGGACGTAAAAAAAAGGAAGGATTATTTCTGGTGAAACTCTGGATGTCGAACTTTCAGTAAAAATCATGATTTGAAGCTTGTTTTTGTTTATTTTTCCCGACTAAACCACGCGATGCATTCAGGGCTCACCAGAAAGCTGGAACCTTTTTAACAGCTTCTGGTTCTGATAAAGGAGGTAATGCTGGTGGCCACTGGTGGGTGTTTGGGTCTGAAACACATCCAGCACATAAAGGTTGTCAGAACAGCAGAAGGTCAGATGTTCTGAGGGAGACGACGGACAGAGAGGATGGATCTGTGGTCTGCTGGTGGAGAGCAGCCGGCCTCCGAGCCACTGCTGAGTGGACATCTGTCCTTCAGAGGAGGAAGCTGGGCAGCAGGAGGAGCTGCTCGAGGCTCCACGTCAGCGGGGCGTTTGTTTTCACCGCCACGAGCTGCCACAGGGGCGGAGACACGGCGCCTCCATCTCACTGCGGTGGTCTGGGATCCTTGTGTTGTTTTTTTTATATTTCTGTGGTTCTTTGAAGCTTATTGTGGTGGTTTGTCTGTTATTGTGGGGTTTTTGCATCTTAGTGTAGGATTTGTTTGTTTGTTTGTTTGTGTCTTTTTGTGGTGGTTTTGTATCTCATTGTGGTTTAAAAATACATGTATTTTGGGGGTTTTGCATCTTCTTGTGGGATTTTTGTTTTTTCGGCTTTCTGAATCATTTTCTGATGGTTTGTATGTTATTGTGGGATGTTTGCATCTTGTTGTTGTTTTTATTTATTTGTTTGTTTTTGCATCTTCTTGTGGTGATTTTGTACATTTTTGTGCTTTCTGTAGTGGTTTTATTTTTTTCTGGGCTTTCTGAATACTTTTTCTGATGGTTTGTAGATTATTGTGGGATTTTTGCATCTTGTTGTTGTTTTTATTTATTTATTTGTTGGTTTTGTTGGGTTTTTTGAATCTCTTTGTGGTGGTTTTGTATTTTTTTCTGGGTTTTTTTTAATCATTTTGTGGTGGTTTGGTATATCTTCGTAGTTAGGTTTCATTATTAAATTATATTTTATTTTATTTATTATCAAATCACATTTCTGATATTTTTAAATTCTACACGTTTCTAATACAAATGATATTTTAGGGTCTCAACCGTAACATTTAAATTTGTGACGTTAATCTCATTTTTGTGTCTCAGTTTTGTGTTTGTTTGAAATATACTTTATAAATAACGGAGGCTGGACTGGAATGAAATCACTGCAGGAGGAAAAAAGCTTCTGAGTTCTGCAGAGATTGTGATGGAATCAGAGCTTGGGACGAATGTGGAGGAAAAGAAAACCAAGGAGCTGAAATACAACACGACATCATTTCTGACTCGTGACGTCAGAGCTGATGTCATGAGGTGATGTCATGAGGTGATGTCGTCACCTGGCTCTGCAGCTCGCTCTGCTGCCTCAGTCTCAGGTTCTCGGGTGTGTCGGCCACGATGGTGAAGGACGTCTTCGGGTAATGTCTGCAGGGAGAGAACAGCGCCGTCAGAACGCACAGCGACACGTCAGAGCAGAAGCTGCAGGTGAGCAGGTTACAGGTGGGCCGGCCTGAAGGCACCACGCCCAACTGAGCTGTCACGTCGGGCTTCATTCATGAAGCACGTCGCAGAACATGAGTGAAATATTGCAAAGTCATTTAGAAGAGAACGGAATAGAAAGGCAGTGAATCAACACAACAATGCAAACCTGGACATTAACGTAGTAAAGTGTCAAAAACCTGCAAATGAACACACAAAGGAGCAAAAATAACTTTTATATTCACACACTTCTCAAAACCTGGATATTAACACATTAAAGTGTCAAATACCTGAAGAGTTTTAACAAACCAAGGAGTCAAAGATTTAAATTTTGATGCAGTAAGTTTAAAAATCTTCCAAAAAACCTGAACATTAACATAGCAACGAGTCAAAATATTAATGCACTAAAGTGTCAAAAACTTGAAAACTAACACACAAAAGTGGAATAAATCCTGGAATATTAACACACCTACTTCTCAAAACCTGGATATTAATAAATTAAAGTGTCAAAAACTTGAAAACTAACACACAAAAGTGGAATAAATCCTGGAATATTAACACACCTACTTCTCAAAACCTGGATATTAATAAATTAGTGTCAAAAACTTTAATATTAAGGTAGTAAAGTGTCAAAAAACTACATTTTACCAAACCAAGGAGTCAAAAAATTGAAATATTAATACACTAAAGGTTAAAAAACCTTAGAAATGAACACACAAAAGTTCAAAAAAACTGAATATTAACATAACAAAGTGTCAAAAATTGAAATATTAATAAACTAAAGAGTCAAAAATTGAAATATGAATGCACTGAAGTTTAAAAAACCTGGAACTTAACAGATCAAAGTGCATAAAAAATAGACGTGAACACAACAAAGTTGGAAAAACTCGGATATTAAAGTGTCTAAAACCTAAAGCGACTCATTTTTGTGTTTTTTGTATCTTTGTGTTGTTGTTTTTTTTGTTGGAGGGTTTTTTTTGCATCATTTTTCTTTATTTTATGTGGACTTTTTTAATTTTTGTGTGATTTTTGCATCTTGTTGTGTGTTTTTTCTATTTTTGTGTATTTTTTTTTCTATATGTTTATGTTTTGTTGTATCCTCTTGTGGTACTTTTATAATTTTTGTGTTTGTATTGCATCTTTTTGTGGGATTATTCCATCTTGTGGTTGTGGTTTTGTACATTGTGTGATGGTTTTGTATATTGCGTGGCCGAGTCGCAGCTGTTTTCACTCTGACTCTGCTGTGACCGAGTCTCGACAAACCCGTCTGTGATCTCAGCCTGGACGCATTGATTCTGTCTCAGCGTTTAACAGCGACGCCGAGACTTCAGCAGAAACAATGAGCCGTTAAAGGTCTTAAATAAAGGGCAGCAGCTCGACATTAACGCTCCTGATCTCACCCCACCTTCAGTTCCTGAGCAGCTGAAGGTCAGCGTAGCTTTAGTTTTCTGAGCAGGACGACGTTTTTATCAAACACCGGAAGAAAAACCTCCCAGAGATCTTCAGGGACGGCGGTCTGAAGGTCAGGCGTCGCTCTCTGCTGGCTCTGTGTCTCCGTGTGGGTTTGTTTCTGGATGTTTTCGTGTGTTTTACGTTTTCTTTTCTTTTGCATCTTTTCTAACTTTGGAGCAGCGAGGCCCAGATGAAGACCAGCTGAACCTCAGATCGTCTCATTTCTACTCATGTGGCTCATTTTTCACTGAATATAAAGTCCTGGATGGATTTTTTTTTTATTTTTTTTAAAATTAATTTATGTTGCAGAAAAAACAAACATGTTTAGATGTTTGACTGTTTTCATTTCCGTCTCGTCTCGGCTCACGGTTCTGTCGAGAAACGCAGAATTTTGTTTTGTTTTGTTTTGTTTTACAGAAACTGCTTCGTGCAAGTATGTGTGGAGAATTTTTATACGAGACAAAAGTACAGTAGTATTTATTTAATTTAATTTATTTTTAATTTTAATTATTATTATTATTCGTTTTTATTTTTAATTTCAATTGTGTCGGTGAAGACTTGCTCTGACGTTAGAACAAGGTTAGTTGAACGTTAGGATCAGGTTCAGTCACGGTTCAGACCGTGAAGTTGTGTCGGAGGAACCAAACCGCTCTCACAAACACAAACGCACACAAACGGATTCGGGCCCAAAGTTTCGGTTCACCTGCTGCCGTCGCCAACGGCAACCAGCGACGCTTTGTTCGCTGGCTGCAACTCGATCCAGCGAAACAAAGAGCCGCTCTGTGGGACGTTTGACTTCAGCAGCCGCTCTGCCGCTCACCAGACCTGGTTTTATGACTGAACTTTCAGAGGAAAACCTGGAGACGGTTTCTGCTCATCGAGTGACGGTGAAGCAGAAGAAGAAGCTCACGGAGGTCCTGGCTGTTCGTCACTCAGAACACATCGAAAGTGTGTTTCTACGAACAGCAACTCGTGTTTTTAGAATGTTAGGATTGTAAAAAGTGCAGGATTTTAAATGAGAGGGAATTGAATTATTTTAACAGATACTTTGCAGCAATTTGAAAGAAAAGGTTTGAATAATAAAATCTAATGTGTGGTAATAAATAAATACATAAATAATAGAAAATATCCAGTAACAACACAGAAAAAGGTTCTTTTAAATTGTATTATTATTATTATTATTATTTATTACTATTATTATTATTATTATTATTATTATTATTAATTATTATTATTATTATTATTATTATTATTATTATTACTACTATTATTATAAGAATAAATATAAAATATCCAATAAAAAAATTCAGGATATTTTCAAGAATTTAACTAAACAGGGAATTTGTTTTTATTTTATTTTATTTTTTATTATTCACACTTTGTCTTTCAAACAACTGCAAATTAATTGTTAAAATAATTCAATTTTTTCAGAAAAAGTATTCATTTAATTTGTATAAAAGAAAAAAGTATTTTTACAATTTATTTACTTATTTTATAATGTCTGACTGTAAAATTACATTATTTTCTGTTGTACTTTTTACTGGTATTTTTTGAATATTTTCCTTGTTTTGGTAAAAATATAGAAGAAATCTAGTTAAAAAATAATTTTAAAAAACAAGATTATTAATTTATATGTGAACCATAAAACAGGCCCAAACTGTAAATAACGTCCACATCAGACGTCTGTATGATCATAAACGATAACCAGACGACTGAAGCGTATTTAAATGGGTTAAAATCTGATTATTTGACAGACAGCTGCTGTTGTTTCCACCCTTTCTACAGTGCTTGAAGTATTTTAAAACCGCGTTTTGTTTGTCAGATGGTCCTCTTTCTGTTTGTTTCCTCTCTGACGCTCGGCTAATAAAAGATTACGTTCGTTTAAAGGTGATTCGAGTTTCTGTCACACCGACTCTAATTAAACAGCTTAACGAACGCTGAGGCTAAATATAACCGCACAACACACACACACACACACACACACACCAGAGCAACACACACACAAAGCAGAGCAACACACACACACACCAGAGCAACACACACACAGCAGAGCAACACACACACACACAGCGGCCTTTAAAGCGCTGCCAGTGGAGCCTTCACACACTTCCTGCTTTTCTCCGGCTGCAGATTAACGCGATGCATTCAGCGGGCGGGACGTGGGGACGGATTTAGATTCACTATTGTGTGCAGCGACGCAGCGCTGACGCACAATCAGCATCCAGACACACAAAGAAGGGCTGCGTCACCTCAAACCACAAAGACTGAAGGTTTATTTGTGGCTCGTGCTGTGACCTAATATGGGTCAGTAAAGGTCAGGTTTAGTAGAACCACCAGCCAGGACGAGAACTTTAAACTCAGGTTGGTCGAGGTGTCAGGACAACCTCGAAAACCACAACGTCTCAGAACAAAACCCCTCCTGAGCCGTCTGAACCTCAAAGCTGCTGACTTCAAAAACGAAAATCAACAAAATGACGCCGTTAATCAGAGCCGGAACCCGTTCAAACGGGACGAATCAGCAGATTTTCAACGTTCAGATGGTCCTCAGAGCAAACGTGTTCAGAAAATGAACCAAACAGAAGCTTGACACTATGACTTTAGTCTACATTTAAAAAACTGCTAAAAATAAACGATTTGCACTAAAAAGATTCTGCAAAAAACTAAAAATTCTGCACTCTTTGGTGAAACCGTGAAGCCATCGATGACTCAGCTGTGACCGACAGTCACGTTAATAAAAAAGCAGAGACTTTTCAGCTGAGCTGCAGGCAGAAAGGAGACAAATATGGAAACAGATCAAAGTGTAAATAGAAACATATTTATAGTACGAGGAGCCCCGAAGTTTTCCCTCCAACATTTCTAACATCTGTGACCACTTTGACACACGCAGTACATGTTTATTTATATGTTTATTTCTTCTTCTTTCTTGTTTAAAACAAAAAAAATAAAATTAATACATTAAATTAATTAATTCCATCCATCCATCCATCCATCATCTCTACACCTTAATCCTCACTAGGGTCATGGGGGGCTGGAGTTTATCCCAGCTGACTCAGGGTGAAGGCAGGTTCACCTGGACAGGTAACCAGTCTATCACAGGGCTACACTTAGAGACAGACAACCAAGCACACTCACATTCACACCTACGGACAATTTACAATCACCAATTAACCTCAGCATGTTTCTGGACTGTGGGAGGAAGCCGGAGAACCCGGAGAGAACCCACGCTGCACGGGGAGAACATGGAGACTCCATGCAGAAAGATTCCAGGTGTCCTCACCGGGACGTGAACCAGCGACCTTCTTGCTGTGAGGTGACGGTGCTAACCACAGAAACACCGTGCAGTCCTAATCTAAACTTTTACTTCAAAAAATAATTAAATAATTGCCAAAAATCAACCGTTTCAACGAAAGAAATCCTGTAAAAAGCAAAAAATTCTGCATTCGTCAGCGGAACCAGGAAGCCACTAATGGCTGGGCTGTGACTGACGGTCACGT